CATGCACAGACATATGTACGCACATACATATATATATATGTATATATATATATATATACGACCTACATACAGAGCAACCTGTTCCCAGATTCGACAACCCAAGCAAGCTCAACTGGCACAGAGAGCCTTCAAGAAGGGCGTGGATTCGTCAGGGAACCGCAGGCTTCGGGATCTTTCTCGGATGGGGTCTTCCGGGTGTGGGGTTCAGGAGTTTTAGGGATTAGGGTTTAGGGTTTAGGGTTTAGGGTTTCAAGGTTACGGTTCAGGGACTCCAAACTGATTCCCGAGCGCCGTCATGCCGTAGGGCGCAGCAGCGCACGGAGCCGTCGAGGCCTTGTTTCCAAGGATCTAGCTAAAGCAACTCTCTAGCCACTTCGGGGGTTGGGTTTCTAGGCTGTTTGGCTTTTGTTGCGATAACTGATTCTGCGAGCACTGAAGATGTTCAAGAATCAAATTTAGAGGTGCCGGGTCATGTCGTTAAGCATCGTGCTATTCAGGCTTGGGTGGCGCTTTTTTGGAGGGAGAAAACTAAAACTGAGGCACCTAGAGCCTTGCTTGCAGCTATCCATGATTTCCAAGTCAAACTGCAGGACCAGGGATCACAATTGCAACGATCAGTAAGTCTGCAAGTACGTCTCCAACATAGAGGAAGCAACAAGAGGACACCTTGGGGTAATGTGTGTCAACCATCGTCATCATCACACAGTGATAACACTGAAAGGGGTTGTCGAGGCTTTCTGTTGCGATGCAAAAGGAGCTAAGTATCAGAACGAAGTGTATGGGCCTGGGTTTCCTGCAAAAGCGCATGTATTCGGAGGGATAGACTTTCTTCCTGTACTTCGCAACGCTGCAAACTGTACTCGCTATGAGTGTCACGATATCTTGCGTCATGCAACTAGTTGTAGCAAGGCAAAATTGATGTCGAGAAATGGTGCTTCTGATAGTTTTGAAAAACATTGCTGTTCTGTCTGTTAGTGCATGTCAAACGATGCTACACATCTATCTCAGTCTGGGATGCTTACTGGATTTTTGGGAGCCAGGGTTTTCTCGAGTGAATCCTTATACCCGGCACGCAGAGCCAACCCATCCCGTTCCACATCCCAGTATTACTACGATTAGTATTGCTACTACAAAAACTTGTAGCAATCTTATTGCTACCATGACTCATCATGATTATTCCCACTATTGAGCTTAGCACTTCTGCTACGATCGTTACTGTTCTTCCCAAAAAATGCACAAACTCTCGGGAAGTCCGATCCTGCTGCCACGAGATGCGAGCCCCTGGAGCAGCGGATGTCGGGAGATTGGGGATCGGAGTTAGAGCTGATTTGGGGGCCTGGGCATTAGAATAGCGATTTAAGTATACTATGATAATAAGATAGCTATAGTTATATTGAATGTGGGTCGTTAAGGGATATGATTTTTAAATGGAGAGGCGTCTACATTATGCATGGCAAGTTTGGGGGCTGGGCTTGTAGGGCTTGGGGCGTGTAGGTCTGGGCTTGTAGGGCTTGGGGCATGTAGGGCTTGGGGCGTGTAATTAATTAGGTCTCTAGGGTTTTGGACTTCTCGGAGGTTGCCGGATTTGGCGCTGGCGGCTTTTCGAAGTTGGGCTCATGAAGCTTCAGGACTGCACTCTTTCGGAATGTAGGATCTCGGACTTCACGTGCTGCAGCAATACTCGAAATGCACCTAGTACGAATGATATGGCCAAGGTCTTTGTCCTAGTTACTGAACAATAGTCACAATGACCCAAAAAGATGTGTTATGTCTGTTATGCACCTAGACCCAAAACCTTCAACCAACCATCAACATGGCACTAAGAAGAAGTCTCTTGCAAGACACCCTCAGAAGGAGAATCGAAGGCCGACGGCGAAGTTTCATTCAATCTCCAAGCACCGCTGAATCTTGTACTAGTCATAAAACGGCAATAGCGATCATAACCATCATGCAAATAATAACAGTACTGCTACTAACCCCTAAACCCTAAACCCGAAACCCCAAACCCCAAACCCTAAACCCTAAACTCTAAACCCTAAACTCTAAACCCCAAACCCCAAACCCTAAACCCTTACTACACCTCGAAGAGACCCGCTCGCGGCACCCAGGAGGCGCCTTCCATTGTCCACCGGCAGCGCAGCAACGGCTGCGAGGCCGGCATCTGAAAGCCTGGTCGCCAGGAGACACGACGTTCTAAGTGGGGTTTATGGGGTTCCTTTAAGGGTTCCTTTTAAGGGTTCTAGAGGGTTTAGGGTTTAGGGTTTAGGGTGTAAGGTTTAGGGTTTAGGGTTTAGTTCAGAGTCATGATCCAGAAGCCTGGCGGTGAAGGAGCCAACGTCACAGTCTCAGCTGTCCAACGCTAGACAGAGGGCTTCAAAAACTCAGCTTCATGAGCCAGCATTACAACACTATGCGCAGGGGTGTTGTAGGTATAAGTTCCCTGGAAGCGAGCTGTTGCAACAAATTCACTTGTACAGGACGCCTGTAAGTGGAGTCACATAGTTTACAAAATCCGATCTAAAGTCATGTGTTTTACAAAATCGATCAACAACCTATACTCCAGTCCCACAACCCAGTCAGAGCGATGTAAGCAAAAATCAAAGCTTCAAAGCCCACTCGTTTCAAAGTGGGGGCTGGCCTGGAGGTGACTCGTGCCTCTGAGTTTTCGTAGACTCCTCGCGAGCACGAGCACGATGGCGCAATGTGAGAGTTTCGGAAACTTGGGGATAATGAGGATGCTGCTACCTAGTTTTCCATCATAGACTTCTTTGTTGCGGTGCTGAAACTCCCATTTCGTTCCTGCCCATGAGCCAACCACTCAGCAGACCTACAAATAGAACTGTCCGAAGGGCTGTCTGGCCTTCGCTATGTGAGTTCCGCAGGTGTAGAATAGCACAGATAATGACCGCGACAAGAAGCATAGTACGGCAACACAGCAATAAGACGCAAAAGTGGCACTACTAGTATTCAGAAAGCACGTTATGGGCACCTGTTTGGGGGGGTTCAAGGGCTGAGCCCTGATTAGGGTTAGCGGCTCAAAGCGTAATATAGGAGCCTGAACAACTATAATCGGGACTACAAGGGAACGCCACTTGTAGATATGCCGACCCCTCCATCTGAGGCGTGGGCTCAGCGTGCCATCGTAGGAGACGGCAGCAAACCAGGAGCTGGGATAGCCCTCACAGCTGTTAATCTAGCTACTCCCACTACAGCTGTTCTTGCGCGCATGCTGGGTAACACGAGCAATTTGCATGCGATCGTTCTTGCTGCCATGATCTGATCATGATCCCGCTTCTTCGTTTACCCTTCTCGCTGTCATTATCACCTAATAACGGCCATCCTGCGTATCACAGTCATCATTACTGTTGCTGTCTGTGCTTCTTACAGGTATGCGTTTCTCTTAACCCTCAATGATTGTGTCGCATGGGATGCGATGAGCTTTGGTGATTCTGTGGGGCTGCGGTTCGTTTGTATTCGGGGAGTTGAGTCCATAGTGCCTAGACTGGGTTGAAGCTGCTGAGTTCAGGATTTCGGCATATCTACCCTGAGTTTCGAGAATCGGGGCTTGTGGCATCGGGCCACACTTGACTTTGCATGCCATCTCAGGCTTCTCGCATGAGGTGAGGGTACCGTTCAAGCCGGCGCAAATCGGCACTGCCCCATGTCACTATGCCGGTTGATGGTGGTTCCAGGCTTAGCAACCTATCTGAGATTGCAGGTGCACGTGCCTCTGTTTACTAAACCCTGAAGCCCTGGAACCCAAAACCCGAAACCCCTCCCCTCAACCCGAAACCGTTACAGTACCTCTATTGGAATCCCTAAACCCTAAACCCTAAACCCTAAACCCTAAACCCTAAGCCCTAAACCCTAAACCCTAAACCCTATAAAGCCCCTCGGTTCTTTCAAGTACCGGCCCGGCCTGAAGTGCTACCACGGATGCGATCCAGTCCGGAGTCTGGCCATCGGGGAACCCAGAGAGCCAAATACCCGTTTACCTAAGCAATACACTGTAATATGCCTTAAATTATAGGGGCCATAATATTATGGTTTCAGGTCTATTCCTTAGTTAAGGAATATACCTTAAATTATAAGGGCCATAATATTGCAGTTTAAAGTATATTCCTTAATTAAAG